TGCTTTGTTTCAAGCAATTTGAACTGAAGAATCAAATTTAATTAGAAGTAATACTTGTAGGAAGAGGGTCAGGGAAGGCTGGTGGAAAATCTAACCCTACATACTTGAAATACCTTTGCTTACATCTGTAACTTTACTAAGATTGGGGCAAACGGTGAACTATTGAAATGAATGTAAAAGGATTTATATAGGAATACTGCATCTCTCCTCCCCAACTGCAAAAGTGAAACACTGAAGTCTGTAGAGTTGGCCTCACCGGGGGATTTGAGTAGGGAATGAAACAAAGAAGCAGATGTGGTTCAAGATTTAGGGAAACTTTCTATTAAAATTTAAGCCATTGTGACAAGCAAAAACAATTCATAGCCTGGAGGGGAGCCGAAGGTGGCTGAGGTCAAGGAGTCTAGCTCATATATTCTTAACAGCCTATCTTCAGTATCATTCATTTCCCTGACATATGTTTTCTCTTTCATGGGGGTTTCTTTCATTCTCCTCAGAGGCCTTGTACTTTTATCATGTTGTTTTCATTAGATTTATTATTAAAACACTACTATCATTTCTTAAATGGTTGATCTCAATACAATATAACCTTGATACAATCGCTTTGTTAAGTTTCCATGACACACATTTTTTGCACTACTAAGGAGAAGCAGCTTGTCTTTTTCCCCCCTTTTGTAGGTCTTACAGATTTGTATAATTAAGTTACTGAAAAAGAAAATGTCAATTAAATAATATACCACATGGAAGGACAAAAGCATGAAAAATATTGTACCCAAAAGTATATGTTTGCTCTCTTAAATTGTATACTATTGTGCTTGGTTTTTAGCTGCTAAAATTAGTTATTCAAAGCTAATACTAGTACCTAGTAGAGTAGACCCATTGAATCAATGGTCATAACATAAATGTTAAGTAAGCATTCAACAATTGATTCAGTAGGTCTACACTAATTTCAGTTTCCAATAAAATTCAGGCCAGTTTAGTCTTTCTTAATACATTTAGATTTTTAACTATATAGTGTATTACTTTTTACTGTTTGCTGCTTTGGGTCTCTTTTTTAGAGAAAGACAAAGCAGAATACGAACAACAACAACAACAACAACAACAACAACAACAACACAATCTAGAAGTGCTATATACCAACAATATGAAATATGTATTGATAGTGTAATGACATGTGAGAAGTCAATATTGCATATCTGTTTATATTATATTTTTCCACTTAGAACTGTACCACACTCGAATGTTATCTTGTGGCCACAAAAAGCAATTAACAAATCAATTCTGTATATGTGTCTATTATATTTAATTATGCTTTCTCCAAGGAATATGTCAAGGCAAAACACACTAAGGACATGGTATTAGCACAACCGAAATAGACTTATCTGGAGATATTTCCTGGAGACATTTCCTTCTCACAAAATGCCTAACTAGACTTTAAAATCTCATAGGTTTAAAAATGCATTTGAGGAACTGATGTGAGCAATACACAAAAAAGCAGATAAAAACACATAATAAACCAAGAGTCATTTCCCCCTTAAGTAAGCCCTAGACAAAACGTGCAGACCACTTCAGAAAATGGAAACAGTTGGGAACATTGGCACTAGAAGCTACTTTAAGGGAAATCTTGGTGGTCGTGGATTTCTGGATCACAAACTAGTAGCTCAGTTCTCTGTTTACTTGCTCACAATATCGAGATTCACTGAATAGGACGACTCCTAAATAAGTGTGAACAGGCTGCATTCTACTCAGCGTATTACCCACAAAGATTTTAGCCATAGTCATGATCAATGTATGTTTCTAGTTGTTAGATTCTCAAAATTCTTTGAAGTCAAATTCTTTCCAACTTTGTAACATTAGCTGTGGCTGTCTCTAAATGGATAAAAATCCGCAAAACCTGGGAGTCCAGTGTTTTGTACTCATTCACTCTGATGTTATTTTTGGAGACCCATGTCACATTTATTTCTTCATGAAGGATTTCCTAGGTGCTCTTGATACCACCAAGGACTTTTCATCCCCACTCTCCATACCATTTTAACCCAGTATTTTCTGAAATAAATTGTAGACTTTACTTGTGCAAGTCTGCTTTCTCCAAAGTAGCTAGGGTGGCTGCAGCCAGTTTACACAGCGATTGTTTCCAGAACACAGATTGGACAGAGATGAAGTGAAGAAAGGGGGAACATTCACACTAAAACAAAATAATCCTAATGTTTCACTAGAGAAATATTGTTGAAGATTCTCACACAGTATATTGTGTTCAGCTGAGCTGCTGAACTTGCTGGCCAAATTGGTAGTTCAAATCCAGTGAGCAGGGTGAGCTCTCTCTGTTAGCTCCAGCTTCTGCCAACCTAGCAGTTTGAAAACATGCAAATGTGAGTAGATCAATAGGTATTGCCTCTGTGAGAAGGTAATGGCACTCCATATAGTCATGACTTTGGAGGTGTCTATGGACAACGTCAGCTCTTTGGCTCAGAAATGGAGATGAGCACCAGTCCCCAAAGTCAGACATGACTAGACTTAATTGACATTACCTTTTATATTGACCTCATTGTTGGGCCACAGAGAATGTGTGTACTTTAGGTTTCCTTCTCTCAAATTAGATCTATACAGAACCCAGTCATTCCAAAGACTAGTATCAATTGCAAAACAGATGCATTTGAACATGGATGGATCAACAGGAATTACTAACCCATGGGGGTTGCATCAACAGAAACCACAAAGTACACATTGTTTTGTATTTAAACCTTTCTAGATTTCAAATGGTTAGTTCCATTTTCAATTCCCTTGGTCAAGGTAAATAACCTTTGGGATGCTAATGTAAAAGTACTGTTCTAGAGTTAACAATTTAGAACATACATCAGTGTTTTGTGTTGCTCCTTAATATTATAATATTTGATTAAATTTTCTCAGTTTCCAAAGTATGCCATTTAGAAATTAATATATTAAAGATGGACACTGTGACATATTGTTCAGTCTCTTGTTCAGCACCTTTTAATATAGCTAAAATTCTTCCATTGTGGTTTAGTGACATTGTTTAGATGAATATCCTAATTATTCTACAAATATAGTTTATCTTGAGAGCTGACTCTGGATAAGTTAAAATAGTTAAGCAAAGCACAAGTCTCAAAAAGTAATTAGAGCATGATCCTATCTTGTCATATATCAAAAGATCAAGCAAAACTGTCTTCTTAAACTGCTGATGAAGTGAGAGCTCCCTCTTCTGTATTCAACAACTGGAACTCCCAGTAATATTAGCTGTCAAGAAATAGCTAGAAGAACAAAATTCCTCTATAAAGATCTATCAGATCTATCAGTTTTAGTGGAAGTTTATATATATATATTTGTCACAATTAAGCTATGGGATCAGAGAAGGTTGGACATTTTACTCTGTGATACTGCTTTATAGTGCATTACCATTTTCCCCACCGAGCAATATCTATTTTGGCTGACAGCAACTCTAGTCTATGTTCTTATGGAAAGATTTGTCAATTGTATCATGACCTTGAATCTGTATAGCTCAGTGGTTCCCAACCTGTGGTCCACAGACCACCAGTGGTCTGCAAGAATTAAAATATGGCCCACAGCCTCAACTTAACTACACTGTTGCCTTAAAATCACACAGCAATGAGAACGCCTGGTCTCATAATATCCTCCTATAGTGCTGAAGCAACGAGGATGTTGGGAGGAGAGAGGCTGACTATACATGAAAGATTACTGCTACCACACCAGCTCTAGATTATTAAATATGGTTTTATATGGATGAGCAGATGGTGACTACTGGATGGCATATGTTCTATACCAGAAACTAGAGCTGATATGGTCTATCCAAAGCAATTTTCTGAATCAGTTCCCCAAATAACCCAACTGAGTCTGAAGTTGACAAAAACTGATTCATAACCCTTTTGGTACTAATGTTGGAGAGTGGTCCCTAGTCAAGTGGTAACTGGTCAAAAAAGATTTGGGAACCACTGGTATAGCTGAAAATGCTGAAAATTCAGCCTATAACTTAAAACATGCAAAACATAGGTTCTGGCACTGAACCTATTTTCAGTGCCAAAGGGTCCCCTTTGGGAAATTAAAGCGAGGTATAAATAAATATAGTAGTAATAATAAGATAATTGAACTGGCTGAGCCAGTTAAATCCCAATCATTCATTATACCTTAGGGGCCATCTACACTGACTTTTAATACAGTTTGAAACTGGCGTATGTGACTACACAGGAAATCCTGGAACCACTAATGAACATTCTCAACTTTCATGGGACTTTGTTGTCTGACCATCACAGTTTGAAGCTAGCTTCAAATTGCATTGTAGATGGGGGCATTGGCTGTGGCTGCTTCTACACTGACCATATAATGCAGTTCAAACTGCATTATATGGCAGTATAGAACCAGTCTGTGGCATGAGTACTGCTTATTGACTGGAATCATAAGGGGAACAGAAGATAATAGTCATGTCTCTGTTCGTTTAAATTGAGTTGTTGCTGTTTGTGCCTTCAAGTCATTTCTGACTTATGGCAACCCTAAAGTGAAGCTAAAGGTAAAGGTAAAAGTTTCTCCTGATATTAAGTCTACTCGTGTCCAACTCTGGGGGGTGGTGCTCATCTCCATTTCTAAGCTGAAGAGCTGCCATTGTCTGTAGACACCTCCTAGGTTATGTGGCCAGCATGATTGCATGGAGCACCGTTACCTTCCCACTGAACCGGTACCTACTGATCTACTCACATTTGTATGCTTTCAAACTACTAGGCTAACAGAAGCTGGGGCTCCTCAGATTCAAACCACCGACCTTTCAGTCAGAAAGTTCAGCAGCTCACCGGTTTAACCCGCTGCACCACCAGGGCTCCCCCAAAGTGAACCTACTTTTTTAAAAAAACATTTGCATGCATTTTTCTTCTTTTACTGGTAATATTAACATTTGAAAATGATATATTTGTTGAAAATCTAATTTAGAAATTACTTGAAAAGACAAGGAAATGACTAAGATAAATAAAAGAAATCCCAACCTTTATTCCACTTTGAACAAGTTTGTGTATATCCAGAAATGGTTCCTTGATTATTTCCCCTTCAGGTGTGAAAATCTTTACATATCCCTCCTTCTCAAGGATGAATAGTCTTTGTGATCCATCTCCAGAATGTATTGCTCCAACAGGTTGTCTCAGACCACTTACAACTTCATGAAGACAAAAGCAGTTGTGTTTGTGTTTCCTAAAAAAAAAGAAGCATTTTTTTTTGTTTTTTATTGGTTGCAATGGTAAGAACCAGATTTTTCTATAATAGGTAGTATCTTGCTCTTAGTAATCATAAGGATAGTTCTTCCTAACAGAATAAACAGAAACAATGTTCATAACATGTTTCAATTTGAAGATGAAAATGCTTTAGTTCTGATAGGAAGAGGGACAGACAGGGGCAATATAACGTTGTGCTACAGCTCCTGGCTCTCAATTCCTTTGGTGGTCAGATTGTTAGAGGCTGATTTTTTTGTTGCTATACTGAAAATGAAACCTTAAAGAAGATGAAATTGCTTCAGGAATGAGCAAAGGCAAAAGGAAACTGACAGAAGTTTCAAATAGACAGAAGTGGGTAAAAATTAGGGCTGGGCGGTTTCGTTTCGTTAATTCGTAATTTGTTAATAATTCGTTAATTTTTTCAATAACAAAACGATAACGAACCATTCTGGAGCAATTATTAAAAAAACGAATTTTCAAAAACGTTTTGTAAATGCTTTGTATTTCGATATTGTATTCGTTTCGTTATTGTTTTGAGGTCGTTTCGTTATCATTTCCGCATGTCTGGGCCAGTTTTATGGTTTAATTAGTGAAAAAAAATTATAATATCACACCAACAGTCAACAACAGAGGGAGAGGGAAGCTTCAGAAGGTTTTGGAGGTTTTTTAGTGTATTTCGTGGTCGCGTCCGCCATTAACGAATCGATTCGTTATTGTTTCGGAAATCGATTCGTTAATTTTTTACCATTTACGAAATTTCGTAAATATCGAACTTTTTAAAAGGAAAATTTTGTAATTATTTTAAATATCGAAACAAAAAAAACCCCCAAATACAAATCGATTTTAGAAACAAATTTTTCCGTTGTTACCCAGGCCTAGTAAAAATATTTGGCAGAAATTACCTGGAATTTAGGGACTGTATCTTGGGAAAAGAGGATGCCACACATGTTTTCCCAAGTCTGATTTTCTATTTCATTTGTGCATTTACATTTACATTTATTATATCTATTTGCTTTACATTTATTATATCTATTTGCTTTGTAAAATAAAATCTATTTCATTTGTGCATTTACAAGGCAAATATTATAACAAAATCATGTTTCCAGTGGTGCAGCGGGTTAAACAGCTGCGCCAAAAGGTCAGCAGTTCAAATCCAGGCAGCGGGGTGAGCGCCCACTGTTAGGCCAAGCTTCTGCCAACCTAGCAGTTCGAAAACATGCAAATGTGAGTAGATCAATGGGTACCACTCCGGGGGGAAGATAACGGCGCTCTATGCAATCATGCTGGCCACATCGCCTCAGAGGCCTCTACAGACAATGCCGGCTCTTTGGCTTAGAAATGAAGATGAGCACCACCCCCCAGATTCGGACACCACTAGACTTAATGTCAAGGGGAAAACTTTGCTTACATTTCATATGGCCCCTTCTGTAAAGACAAGTAATTATGATATTGTAACCCAGGGACTTTTCATATCTCATAAGTAGAAACATGGAAAAGACTGCACATGTAATATTTATGAGTAAAAAGTCATCAAAAAGTGATGACCATTAAACTTAAGATCATGTTTCCTATGTCCTTCTCTTCATTGCTGTTTCCCTCTTCTCTCAAAAAGTTACTCTGAAGGGGGATGCCAATTGAAACCCCAAACCTCAATTAATATTGTTGAAGAGAATCACATAGCACTCTTGGGAATATTTTCAGGCACTCGTGGCTGCAAGGAAAATAAAGGGACCAGGTAACCTTCCTTCCATGAAACTTCCTTAGGTTTAGTCACTTAAGTAATATAAGCCAGTGACATTTAAAGCAGGCCACCAAAACATAATTCATTCCAAACTTCACTTTGTGCTGCAAGGGGAGGTGTTGATGAAAAGAGAGTTTGTACAGACAAAATAATAATCCTGGCTTCAAAACATACGCAAGAATGAAAAGATTTTCAGAAATTCTTAAACACCTCCCCCCCCCCCAAAAAAAAAAATAACAGTAAAAATGCAGTTGTAAGAACTCGTCTGGGAGTAAATCTCACTGAAGACAATGAAATGAAACTGAAAACATTGCTTAAATTTCCATTACCCTTGAATGACCACTAAGAAGAAGTGTTCATCTCCTCCAAACTTTATATATCCTAACTCATTTTTGAGATAATGATAATGTATAACAAGAGAGGAAATCAACAATCAGGAAAAGGAACAACAAATCGGGTGGAAAAACCCAAGCTACCAACAATTACATTTAGATAACATTTCAGATAAGACATCTGCAATGTATTTGATTTAGCATTATATCAATGAATTGAAGAAAGAACAACATCTGGATGACACAGCTGGGGGTCAAAAGCATAGACTGACTCAATTCACTGACAAAACTACAAAGTTTTATTACATTTTAAAGACTGAACCATATACAAACCTGCTGATATCTTCTCCTTTACCATATTCTTCCATCTGGTCCAAATAGTTAGAAGCTGGTCCTCGAATTTGTTTTCTTGGGAAATCTGGAAAGCACAAACCACCATCTTTTCTTGTGTAGTAGAAACAAAAGTCATCTGCTGTAGTTTGAAGGAAACCTTGAAAAAGTTGGGAAGAAACATTTAGTTAGGTATTACTAATACAACTTCTTTCCACAGTGGATTGTGTGAAAAGCATTGTACAGCATATAGACTACTCTTGATTATAAACATATCATAATTATCTTTTTTTTAAATTGTGTCTTGATTTTAAAAAATTAGAAAGTATTCTGTCAGATGTTTTAGGAGGTACAATTAGTGAAATCAAAATAACACTTGAAAATTAATACAGAAATGTGTGTTTTCATCTCATATGTATACACTAGCTGTACCCGCCATGTGTTGCTGTGGCCAACCTTCCCTCCCTCTTTCTCTCCTCCTTTCTTTCTCTCCTTCCTTCTCCTCCACTTCCCTTCCTTCCCTTCCCCCCCTTTCTTTCCCTTCTTCTTTCTCCCCTTTGTTCCTTCTCTACATATTCTTGGATTGCAAGTCCCAGCAGTCCTCCTGATCGATCTACTTACCTATCTTGTTGTTGTTCATTCGTTCAGTCGTCTCCGACTCTTCGTGACCTCATGGACCAGCCCACTACCTATCTATCTCTATCTAATCTATCGATCTTATCTATCTGGAGGATTGCTGGGAGTTGCAGTCCAGGAATAGGAAATTGGAAATATGCAGGGATTAGGATGCTCTCAAAAATATCCAAGGAGAAGAAAGCTTGCAGCTTGGAAGCAGTGCATTTGGATCATCCTCCTCTCCTAAAGGGCCTGGTCTAGGGGATGCTGGGAGCTGTACTCCAGAAGAAATTGTGGATTTGTGTATTTTGTTTGCCAGGGAGAGTTGTTTTTGTGCTGTAGCATCTTTTTGCTTTTTTGGTCTTTTAAGTCCCTTCCGTTGTGTTTTTCAGTGCTTTTATGAGTGATGGTCACTTGTTGGCCTGATAGGTGTATTGTGTCCAAGTTTCATGTCAATTCAGTGGTTTTTGAGTTATATTAATCCCACAAACGAACATTACATTTTTATTTATATAGATGATATCAGAACATATACACCAAGACTTCCAGATGTTGTTGCAGGCATCTTATTTACAGCCATCACTACGACTACCATCATTACCACAACTGTTTCTGTAGTTGCTATGCTGCCATTTATTTGTGTTTTCCATCATATCTTGCAAGTAAATATTAGGAAATTCCCATCCTAACATTTGTAAATACAGAAACAAACAGCAGTAGAGTTTATTTTATTTTTAAGACTTTATGAAATATGATTTTTCTAAGTAATCCATACACCCACAATTATTACACCAGTGTAGACTATAGAGCCATTCTGAGTAGCCAGAGGGCTTATTGGAACCCAACAGTTCTATGGTTACTTTCCAGAAAACTCCATCTCCTGTTCATTTTACTACCCTTTGAAATACATATCTTGGGAATATAGGATTGGGCCTTTTAGGTGGCTGCTCCAAGGCTTTTTTCTCAGAGTAACTAAACTGGTTTCCTCTTTGCTACCCTTCTCTAAGCATGTGGAAATTGGGGAAAGGACCTTTAATCGTGTGCTGTGTTGTTTATATTTGTGAATATTTGTCTATATCTGTTTTAAATTTTGAAAGCCCGTTTGAATCTAAGGCTGGGAAAAAGGAGGGCTATAATAGCAAGGGTTGCAGGCTACATTTAAGAAGAAGAAACTGGCAAACCACCTCTATTTGTTGCCTAAGTAAATACTGTAACTGACCGCCTCTCGGCCTATGAGCCCACGAGGACTTTGAGATCTTCCGGGGAGGCCCTGCTCTCGATCCCGCCTGCGTCATAGGCATGGCTGGCGGGGACGAGAGATAGGGCCTTCTCGGTGGTGGCTCCTCGGCTGTGGAACACCCTTCCCGTGGACATCAGGCTAGCTCCCTCCCTGTTGATATTCCACAGGAAGCTAAAGACCTGGCTGTTTAAGAAGGCATTTGAATAAGAAGTGCAAGGACTGGTAATTTGACCATAGGATTGGAACAACGGAAATGATATCGGATTGTGGGTTTGACGATGAGACGACTCGGAATTGGCTTTTGTAGTAATGTTGATGTTTTGATGAGTTGTTTTTTGATAATGATGAATTGTGGATTTTTTACACTATGTCTTGTATTTTGCACCTGTTTTTCTATGTTGTACACCGCAATGAGTCGCCCTTGGGCTGAGAATTGCGGTATATAAGCGTAGTAAATAAATGAATAAATAATACTGTGACTTTTTGGGATAAATGGCTCCGCCAAAATTGGAGTGCATTAGATTCACATAATATGGTAACTGGCCTCCCTGCTTGCCACAATCCATGGTCTCCTTGGCTAGCTGAGATCACTGCCTCGCCAGGGCCAGCTCCCTAGCCAGTTGCTCACCATAGGCCCCAGGACCCGAGGAGGAGAAAGAGGCAAAGGTGGAGGAGTGACCTCTTGTCCTTGGGGAGGAGTGACCTCTTTGGCTTTCTTTCTCTCTCCCTTCCACCTTTTTCCTCTCTGACCTTTCTTTCTCCCCTTCCTTCTTGTACCTTCTTTCCATTCTCTTATCCTCTCTCTGCTTCTTCTTTCAAGGCTCCTTCAGGGAAGGGTTACCCAATTCTATGGTGTTGCTTTCCATTGCTGGAAGATTTGGTGGTCTAATACTTTTTATTTCTGATGAAGAAATTCTAAACGCACAGCAACACCACCTTTTTGGAACAAATTACAAAGAGGGAACTTTTTGCCGCTGTGCATTACATTTGCCAGCAAATCCTTTTTTAAATTATTATTTCAGGATCTTGAATTGAGGTGTGCATTAGATTCAATGGTGCACTACATTTGAATAAATACAGGGTAATATGAAATTCCTGAGGTCACCACAACAATTTTTTGCAACTTATTGAACTTCTCACAAATATAAGAATGCATCTGATTCATGAAAAGAAATTTCACAGGTGAACAGATCAAAAGGGAATCTGATTACCAGTGGTGCCTTAAACGCCTTAGAATTAGGTTTAACAATAAACCATTGAACATTGCAAACTTACACACATCTTTTATGAAAACAATTAAACATGGCAATAAAGCCAATTGCAAAAATATACAATCATCCGCAGGCAGTGTGGTCTCACAGAACAATTGGCCTATGAAATGCAGCCATGCCTCTTTCAGGTTTGCTGATTTTGTAACTTTATATGACTATATAAATATGTTAAGCTTATATAAGGAGAATGAAGGGAATGAAGCTATCTTGAGAATAGAAGATTCATACCAGAATAAAAATATAATTAGATGGAACTTAATGTATAGAAACTGCTGTTAAAGACCAATGGCCAAAGTAGATCATGCTGTGTTGGAGACTTTGTTTAATGATTTGGTAAGACAACATTAACTATTAGTTTAAGAAAATGTATTTTAAATAACTGGTGTTTCATTGTTTTAATCATTTCATTCATGAGTGTGGGTACCTAAACAGAAACAGGTTGGGATCCAATGGTTACTTCTACTGGAAACAATTGTTTCTACCAAAATAGGTGACACATACTAACTCCTGCCTCCCACCATGTATCAAAAAACCCTCTGAATCAGGTTTTGGGTTCCAAGAAGCACTACATGGGATTGGGGTCAGGTTGTAGCCTTGTTGTTTCATTTTCCACCTTGTTTTTAGTTGCCTTGTCTTCTTGAGTAAATCCACATCTTCTGTTACTCTTAGGGTTTCCATGTTGCTTAAAGATTTCCTGAATTGAGATCCATTTTAGTATTTATGTATAATTTTTTTCTTTTGTGCTTCTTCCAAGTTCTCATCAGAATTTTCCTAATTGGGTGTTTATTAAAGTTTGGGTCTTCTGCCACTTTTCCATAAATTATTTAAAACATTTATATTATTCATTGTTATGTTTATTCCTAAATATTTTTTCTGTCTTAGTTTTTCTTCTTTTTTTATTTAGCTTTGCTGCTGATATTTTTGTTTTGTGTAAATTGATTGAGAGTCCAGCTACTAGTCCAAATTGGCTAACCTGGTGTATCATTTTAGGAAATTCCTTCAGTGGGTTTTCTGCCATTAGGATAATGTCATCCACAAACAACTTTATTTTGTATTTTTTTGCTTTTCACTTTTATTCCTATTAGATCTTTATGTTGATGTAGTTTTTTTGCTAAGATTTCTATTGCAAGTATAAATAATAGGCATGAGAGAGGACATCCCTGCCTCAAGTTTCTCTGTTTTGGAAAGGTTTCAGTCATGTCTCCATTGATTTTTATTTTCACTTTTTGTTCCAGTTATATTGTTTGTACGCCATTGATAATTTTTTTGCTATATCTTAAATTCTTTAGTAGTTTCAAAATGAAATTCCATTTAGTCTGTCAAAGTCCTTTCCAGCATCCAATACTTAAAGTGCACCCTTTGTAAATTTTTCATTTTGAATATGTTCATTTATGTTCAGAATTAGACTTGTATTGTCTTTAATTTGCCTTCCAGATAGGAAGCCTTCTTGATCACATTTCACCCAATTGCTCAATGTTGCTGTTAATCTGTTTGCCAATATTGATGTAAATATTTTATAATCTATATAATCTATTCTTTGTGAATTAAGATAATGCTGGTCTCTTTCCATGTCTTTTGTATTTGATTTTTTTCCAGTACAGAATTCATGATTTTTTGTAATATTTGTGCTATTTTATCTTTCATGATCTTGTAGAATGTTGCTATGTAGAATCTGGGCCTGGGGATTTATCTATTTTAAAATTCTGAACAGTCTCATCAATTTTCTGTATTGTAATTGATGCATTTAATTCAGTGGTTCTCAACCTGGAGTCCCCAGATGTTTTTGGCCTACAACTCCCAGAAAACCTAGCCAGTTTACCAGCTGTTAGGATTTCTGGCAGTTGAAGGCCAAAACATCTGGGGACCCCAGGTTGAGAACCACTAATTTAATTGATCTTGGTCACTTCGGAGAAGGTTGGTACCTTTTTAAAAATGTATTTTATGACTACTTCTGTTGGGCCCTTTTCATTTTGGTATAGATCCTGATAAAAATCTTTAAGATTTTTTTTGATCTTTTGGTCTTCCTTAATTTCT